GATCATCTCGCCAAGATCATGGAACTCATCGGCAAGCTTTTTGAGGCGCATGCAAAAATAGTCAATGGACAAGTCAAGTTGTTGGCACCCACAGAACTCGCCGTGAAGAAGGACCTTGTGCTGAAGTTTGTTGTTGGTGAAGAGACCAGTGAGCTTGGTCCAGACAGCGTGAGCATCATCCTCGTCGCACACCACCGTGTGGAAGAGGTCCTTGGAGATGGCGAGGTAGAACGAGCGAATGATGGTGGCGTCAAGGATCATCCACTCCTCGTCGTTCACCATAAGGCGAGAGTCTACGGAGCCATCGATGTGACCGTGGAGCTGGTACTCATGAAACACCAAGGAGAAGTATGTCTTCCAAGCATAGTAGGTGGCGGTGGAGTGATCGAGGACCACCAGGACGCATTCATAGATGTTGAGATCACAAATGAGGGTGAAGTCCGGGCCAATGAAGGACTGCGGGGAGTTTATGGAGGACTGCGGGGATTTTATGGCGGTGGGGTGGCAATCGGGTGGAAGAAGGAGCGGTGGGGAGGGAGGGCAGCGGCGGCTGCTAGGGGATGCAGCGGCGGCAGTGGTGTGTGGCGGCGACAGAAAGGAGCAGCGGTGGTATGAAGGAAGATGGCGGCGACAACAGGGAGGGTGTTGTGGCTAGAGGAGAGGCAGCGGCGGCGCAAGGACGCAGCGCGGGCGGCAGCGGCCTAGGGCGGAAGCGTAGGGTTAGGATCGTGGGGAAACTGATACCATGTAGAAGACTAGGGTTTGGCTGTGCAATGCTCGATGTATTGATCGGTGCACAAGGCGCGTGTATATGATGTACAAGGCGGGCTACAATCTCAACTTTTTTTGCGGGCTAGCTACAATCTCAACTATATAAAGAACTAGAAGGTGGGCATACGACACAATAATACATGCACAAATATATTCAACAATAATACTCCATCTGTTTTTATTTACTCCGCATATTAGAGTTGACTGAAGTCAAACTTCCTATAGTTTGACCAAGTTTATAGAAAAAGACTATAAATACTCATCATAACAAATCTATATGATGTGAAAGTACATTCAATAATGAATCTAAATGTATTGATTTGTTAGTGGATATGTTAATATTTTTGTCTATAAACTTTGTCAAAATTTACAAAGTTTGACTTTACCGAAAAAGGGTTATCCCCGCTTTGTATTCCAAAGCAACCAACACCGATTACATAGATCGCTGGGGCGAGCAGCACAACAAGCCCAAAAGAAAAAGAAAAAGAAACAAATGCCAACAACCGCAGCTCAACAAAGCACGGATGACCCGCCACCGCTGCACCCACCAGAAACAAACCACGATAGCCCGAGGCTTCGATCCGCCGCGTGCCAAGCAGCACCCCCAAGAAGGACTGCGACACCGACGACGCTGCTGCCCGGACGGGTCCTAGGGTTTCCCCCGGCACGTGGAAGGAGTTGGGGGATGGATAACAACGACACCCTCCAGGAAGGAATGGTGGCACCCGTATGCGTCACCGCATCGGAGCCGAAGACCGGCAAGGATTTTTCCCACACTCCAAACTCCACCACCCGACCGAACCGGAGCCGACCAGCCAAACCTCCGCCCACCACCTTGCGCCATCTCAGTTGCGCCACCACCCACACCGCCTCACTGCGAACACCACCACGAGGCCAGGAGACCCGAAGAGAAACGCCAAACGAGGAAGCAGTGGCACCGATACCAAGCAGGAGGGACCCACCTCCCCCGCCAACGTGCGGGAGGCCCGAGCCCCCGGCCCCGTCGCAGTCGTCGTCCGGACGCGGCAGCAGGGCACACCAGGCCACCCCTGGCCCGGCCGGGCCCAAACGGGCCCGCAAAGCCCCGCCGGCCACGCTGCAGCAATTCGGTATCCGCGTCGCCGGCCCGCCGCCGCTCGTCGCCACGCCCCGGCCTCCTGGAGGTCGCGCCACAGGCTCACCCCGCCGCCAGCCCGCCCGGGCCCAGATGGGCCCCAAAGGGCCCAAATCTGGGCCGAGCGGGCGCCGCCAGGATGCGCCGCCGCGCTACCCCGCCGCCAACGACGGCGCTGCCGTCCAGCCATCCGCTCGCGTAGCGCCAGGACCCCGCCGCCATGCTGGACCGCCACCGCCTAGGGACACCCCCCAGCCCGCTCCTTCCCGCGCCAAAGGAAGTCGGGAGGGGAAAAGCGAGGGGGCCGCCGCCGCCAGCATCGCCCAGGCCAGGCCCGGCGGCGAGCGCCGACGACGACGGCGGGGAGGGAAGGAGGAGGGAGGGGCGCTGGAGAAGAAGACCGGGGCGTGGTCGGTTGCCCGCGGGGGCGACGCGGTCGCGAGAGCCTGAGGGGAAGTTTGACTTTGACCAAAACTAATACTTTTTTTTTGCGGGACAAAGCTAATACTCGAAGTAAATAAAAACGAAGGGAGTACAAGATGCAATATATAAACAGTAAAACAAGCAAATACAAAAACGAATAGAGCATGGACAATTCGCTAGAAAGAAGGGCGTCTGCATAAACTAGCTCGACCCGTATCCCAACCCTTGATCCGCTGCTAGTATTTCACATGATTACATGGGTTGCATGGCCAGCTGTTATGTTGGACTCTCGTGCCATCCATGCATGGGTCATTTCTCACCGTGCAGCCGGGTCGGAAACGGATAGCGACTCAAGCTCACACTTGGACGTATGCGCGCCGCAATCGCAGGCATTCTGGGCCGTCGATCTTTGTTTCCTCTCAGGTCAACTCCACCGCACGACCTCAAACGGACGTCCGGATTAACGGGATGTTGTCCCTTTGGAGTGTCGATGGGTACGCCCGTGTCCGGCTGTGTCCATTGGGTCGTGCGTGCGCCCACCGCGCGGCCGCACCCCAAATCACGTCCGTGCTTAGAAAAACAATAAAAAATAAGAAAACATAAAAAAATGACTAAAAAGTAAATAAACGCAGTTTAATAAAAAGATAAAACTTAGTTAGGAGGTCCATAGCCACAAAACGGCCCAGTTTCGTCACATTAATAATTAAACATAAAAAGAAAAAAAAAACAGTCGCCGCCGGCGTGCTCCTGCCCGTGCCCATCGTTGCCGTCGCCGTGGCGCTCTTCACTGGCCGCCGGTGTCGTCGTCGTCGCTGACGAGGTCGACGTAGGCCGGCGGCGTCCACAGGTGGGCCGGCGGTGCGTGCGGTGCCTGGTAGACGGGGGCGGGCTGGACGGCGGGAGGTGCCTGCAACACCTCCTCCCGTGGCGATCCCTCCCGCTCCGGTGGCTGCTGCGGAGTGGCGCGCCAGTCCATGCCCTGGCTGGCGGCCATCTCCTGAGCAGTGCAGGACCAGGCCCACCCCGCGCCCACCAGCTGCTGGAAGGCATCCGCCGGCTCCTCCTCCATGGCATCCTCCCTCCTCTCCTCCGTCAAGGCCGCCATCTGCAGCTCCGGGAAGGCCACGTCGCCGGCGGCAGACAGTGCCATGGCCTCCTCCAAGCCATCCCATTGCCGCTCGTCGTGCGTGCGCATGGAGTCCTCCATGACACGCTACACGAGACGGGCTTCCTCCTCCGTCGTCATGCGAGGAGGTGGTGGTGGCGATGGAGACGGCGACGGCGTGGGCGTGAGGCCGCGCACCACCCTACGTCCGCGCTCCTGGGGAGCGGCCGCTCGGCCCTCTTGGCGTGGCCCCGTCAACGTGCCGGCGAAATAGGACGCCCGCCGCGCGTCGTGCTCATCGCAGAACCAGGTGTCCCACAATGGCGAGTCGGGGGCGTACCTGGGGTCGTAGTAGAGGTCGTCCGGGAGGAGGCGGCGGCGGCGCTCGATCTCCTGGCGACGCGCACGGCCGGTCACCGGGACCGGCGGGATCGGCACGCGGTCGGCCGACAAATGCCAGTTGTTGAGGAGGTGGGCGTCGCTCCAGGGGATCGGCGTCCTCGTCTCCCAATAACGGCGGCACACCTCAGCGCGGATGTAGTGCCGGTCGCACTCGCCGGCGGACGCGGGGGCGATGAAGAACGCGGGCGGCGAGGGGGCCCGGCATGGTGGCGATGGCGAGGCCGGCTCCTCCTTCTTCACCGAGCCGCGGCGACGCCCCGACGAGGAGCCAGCCTCGCGGTCGTGCGCGCCTTTGCGGCCGTAATTCCAGAGCCCCATGGCTGCGGGGCGGCCGGCCGGCGAGTTCTTGGCTAGGGTTTGGGGCCTGGGGCTGTCGGGTTTCGAGGAGGCCGCGGGGTGGCGTGGGGCAGTGTGGACGACGACCGGTCCACGCTTCCCACTTAAAGAAGGACGACGACCCTTCCATGTGTGGATGACAGGTGGGGCCGCCCGCCCGTGCGCATTGTTGTGGGCGGGAGGAAGGTAGGTGGCCGCCTGCCACGCGGCCCCGACGCGGACGAGGGCGCGTCCGTTTGGTGTCCGCCACGATCCAAACCCGGCGCAAGTTTGCGCTCGAAATGGGTCGGGCCGGACACAAAACGAACAGGATGGGTCCGGACCGTCGCGCGCTGGGCCGCCTTCTTTGTCTCTTTTACGCAAATGGACTGGGGCGGACAGAATAGGGTCGCGCGGTGGAGTTGGCCTCGTAATCTGAGACGGGGACATCGCGCCGTGTGTGCGAGTGTGGCTGTGAAACCGAAACCAGCAGCCATCCTCAAAAAAAGAAACCAGCAGCCCGGCCGATCCAAGGCACGGCACGGCATGCAGTGCACACGCATGCACCGATCGACCCCCCATTCGCCACCGGAAAACCAGCAGCGTCCGCCGCGGGTTGCCCCCACACGAGCGCGCACCCGCGCCCGCCCACCCGCGCGCGCGGCCGTCCGCAACACGTGTCCTCCGACCTTCACGTGCTCCTCTCTTCCTTCGCGCGCGTACTCCAGTGAGTGACGCCGTCAATCTCGCCGTCGCACGCCCGCCCACGCGCGCGCGCCACCGGCCCACTCTCCCCCTCCTCTTCTACCGCGACCTCGCTATAAAAACGGAGCCACCAGCTCGCGAGTCCAGCCAGCCAGGCACCGCACAATGGAAGCCACCTCGTCCCTCACGCGCTCCCTCTCCCTCGTCCCCCGCCCCCGCCGCTCCTCCCGCGCCGCGAAGTCCCCGCACATGCCCACCCTCTCCCCGGCGCCGCGCGTCCTCCCGCTCCGCCGCGCCAGGTCGGACGCCGACCTCCTCGGATCCGTCCCCGCCGCGGCGCCAGGCTCCGCCGGCTCCGTCCTCCTCCGCTCGCCCCGCCCAGGCACCCTCGGGGAGAGAGACGACGCGCCGATGGAAGACTGCTTCGACGGCTCGGGCGCCGGCAAGGACAACAACAGCTCCGGCCGCGGCGGGGGCAGCGGAGGCGCCGGCGGCAACGGCCAGAGCGCCGGCATGGGGGAGCACTACCGCAGGGTGCTGAGGCTGGAGCCGGACAACCCGCTGCTGCTGCGCAACTACGGCAAGTACCTGCACGAGGTGGAGCGCGACCTGGCGGGCGCCGAGGAGTACTACGGCCGCGCCCTGCTCGCCTGCCCCGGCGACGCCGACCTGCTCAGCCTCTACGGCCGCGTCCTCTGGGAGGCCAACCAGGACAAGGAGCGCGCCTCCGGATACTTCGAGCGCGCCGTCCAGGCCGCGCCAGACGACTGGTACGCGCGCGCCCCCGTATCGTTCGCGACTATTTTGTTACTCGTACTTGACTGTGTAGTCGATCGAATCACTTGCTAACTAGTGATGTTTACTTGCAGCTATGTGCTGGGATCGTACGCGAGCTTCCTGTGGGACGCCGAGGACGAGGACGAGGAAGAAGCGAGCACGGCGGCGGCCAGCTCTCCGGCGTTGGTGCCGGCCTGCTGACCCTGGCCGTTGATCTGGAGTGGCGAGGCGGTGGCGGTCTACTGTACAATACTGCAACGCACTGTACTGTGCGTAGCAGAGCAGGGATGGCAGCTGGTCGGTGACATCCTCGGCCGTGTGAATTCTGAATTGGCAGGCTGATCAATCCAGGGATAGATCAACGCTGCATGTCATTGCCCGCCACAAGTTGAGGAAGGAGATGACAGATTTGAATGGATCCGGCCGGGTCACCTGAGGCGTCAATCAATAATACTCCTACCTACTACTGCTCTGCTCTACTGAAGTTCTTTGTTGCTACTCTATCGACAATCGTCTGCTGATACTTACTAATTAACCTTTCTTGTACTAATCGCTACTAGATGTTACAGTACCTATAGAGCGAGCTTGCTATCCGCTGTACTACTCGGCTGATGCTGCTGAGCTTAATTCTATTTCCTTGATGTGTAATTACATGCTGGTCGGGATAACCTTTGCTTCGATCAGGCTGTTTTCATCCAATAATTAAGCTATGTTTATAATATATATCTGTCAATCTGTGCAATATCTTCAAACAAAATAGAGTATAATACCTGTTGGGTGGAGCCATTTGCACAGCCTGCGATGGCAGTGGCATTATATGCGTGGTCTGCAATTTGGCAAGAAGAAATAGAAGCGAGCTGTCAAGCATGCATGTTAGGCTGGTCGGAGGAACTTAGACTAGCCACAATGGAAGTAACTTCGGTAGTAACATCGAGTCCAACTCAGCAAATTTGCTTATGTGGCAATGAGTTAATGAAGAGAGATGTAGTACTAGTAACTTAGCTAGTTAATGTAACATCACATGTCCCAATGCAATATGAGTCTATAATCTAATAAATGAAGTTTCGTATGTTACCACACTTATGTTACTACCCACTATGAAGATAGTAACATAGTCTAGGGATATGTGTATGTTACTAGTGTATGTTACTACCCATTGTGGTTAGTCTTAGGAGTAACATCACACACTCCAATACAACTTTGTTTATGTGGCACGTATTTAATGAAGAGAGAGGTGCTTGTGGTAACTAATAAATACATCGGTTTGCATGACACTATATAGATGTTCCTATCCACTATGGAGGTAGTAACATAGTCTATGGAAGTGTGTAAGTTACTAGCTTATGTTCTTGCCCATTGTGACCAGCCTTAGTAGTACAAGAAAGTCGCGACGAACAAATACTCTATTGTTAGGCTTGTCGTAATGGTAGTAGGCTGGTCATAGTGGGAGTAACTTAGCAAGTAACATAACACATCACAAGAAAAAAATTATATGGCATGTAGTTAATGAGGAGAGAGGTGTTTAGAGTAACATAATATGTTACTGTAACATAACACATCTCAAGATAAAATGAGTCTGCATCTTAATAAATGATGACTTGCATGATATCACATACTCCCTCCGTTCCTAAATATTTGTCTTTCTAGACATTCAAATGGACTACAACATACGGATGTATGTAGACATATTTTAGAATGTAGATTAACTCATTTTACTTCGTATGTAGTCACTTGTTGAAATCTCTAGAAAGACAAATATTTAGGAACGGAGGGAGTATATGTTACTCCTCACTATGAAGCTAGTAACATGGACTAGTAACATATGCATGTTAATAGTCTATGTTACTCCCCACTATGACTGGCCGTATCATAGCTAGTATCATGCATGCCAACTAGGCAATTTTGATGAGGTGTCATAGCATTAAATGAAGAAAGAGAGGGTGGAGTATCATATCATGATACCGTATCATAATAAATGCTATGCTACTTTGTGTCATGCATGGCAATAAATAGAGTACTACATGATATTAAAATATAATACTATGCATTAGAGAGCTAGTATCATACACTAGTATGCATATGATACTAGTGTATGATACTCCCATTACAACCAGCCTTAACTAAGTTTGGGCGTGTGTGCGGTTATTCAGCGGAATTCCTTTTTGGGGAATAGTTCGGCATGATTTCCAATGAAAATTTTATTATTATTATTATTAGTGGAACAAGGGCCACCCCCTCGGATTTTCATTAGAGAAAACCATATGGTCTGTTGATTTCAATTTTTATAAAAGCTGATGAATCTTATATTTTCTTCTATATCTGAGTCTTCATCATATCCTCTATAACACTATGCTTCCTAGTTTTAAAAATCCCACATTCAATTGAGGTCTTCAATTGAGATTGTGTCATCCGATTTTGACCGAGTCAATAGCTTCTCAAAGCTCTCACTATACTCCCTTCATTTTTATTTACTCTGCATATTAGAAACAATATAAATATCTATCATAACAAATGTATATAATGTGAAAGTACATTCAACAATGAATCTAATGATATTGATTATTGCATATGTTAATATTTTTGCTTATAAACTTTGTCAAAGTTTGCAAAGGTTGACTTTGAGAAAATTAATACACAGACTAAATAAAAACGGAGGGAGTACTCCCTAAGTTCAAAAATTCTTGTCTTAGATTTGTCTAGCTACGGATTTATCTAGTAGAAATTCAAAGTCCATGGAATCTCATCCATTATCCATACATGGCAGTCGATTGCACTTTACTCAAACGTTTTGGAAGAATTTTTTGCTTCTTCCGTGAGCAGTACCGAAATCATCCAGCTATCAGATGGGAGGATACAATAATCCTACAACTTAGAGGTTTGCATATTATCCGAGAATTCGAGGAGCCATAAAACTAATGCCTGACCGGGTAACGACAACTATCTAATGAACAATCTAGGGCCCTATGGTGAAATTCTATAGGAATTTTGGAGGATTCAGTTCCTTAGAATTTCTTTCGATAGAGCTTGTTTGGTTCATCGCATCCTTAGTGGCGCGCTACATCGGCGCCCGAATGTAGTGGAAAATGAGCAAGGGTCTTCGCATTTGACTCTACGAATGTGAAGGGTAAGGAAGCTAGCCGAGCCTAGGAGGATTCGCTTAGGTAGCTGGAACGTAGGGTCTCTGACAAGAAAGCTTCAGGAGCTAGTTGATGCAGCGGTGAGGAGAGGTGTTGATATCCTTTGTGTCCAAGAAACCAAATGGAGAGGACAGAAGGCGAATGAGGTGGAGGATACCGGCTTCAAGCTGTGGTACACGGGGATGGCTGCAAACAGAAATGGCGTAGGCATCTTGATCAACAAGAGCCTCAAGTATGGAGTGGTAGACGTCAAGAGACGTGGGGACTGGATTATCCTGGTCAAGCTGGTAGTTGAGGACTTGGTTCTCAATGTTATCAGTGTGTATGCCCCATAATAGGCCACAACAAGAACACGAAGAGGAAGTTCTGGGAAGGCCTGGAAGACATGGTTAGGAGTGTACCGATTGGTGAGAAGCTCTTCATAGGAGGAGACCTCAATAGCCACGTGGGTACATCTAACACAGGTTTTAAAGGGGCGCATGGGGGCTTTGGCTATGGCATCAGGAATCAAGAAGGAGAAGATATGTCTTAAGCGTTGCTCTAGCCTACAACATGATTGTAGCTAACACCCTCTTTAAAAAGAGAGAATCACATCTGGTGACTTTTAGTAGTGGCCAACACTCTAGCCAGATTGATTTCATCCTCTCGAGAAGCGAAGATAGGCGTGCGTGCCTAGAATGTAAGGTGATACCTGGAGAGAGTGTTTTACCCCAGCATAAGCTGGTGGTTGCTGACTTCCGCTTTCGGATTCGTGTCCAGCGGGATAAGCGTGCCAAAGTCGCTAGAACAAAGTGGTGGAAGCTCAAGGGGGAGGTGGCTCAGGCGTTCAAGGAGAGGGTCATTAAGGAGGGCCCTTGGGAGGAAGGAGGGGATGCGGACAATGTGTGGATGAAGATGGCGACTTGCATTTGTAAGGTGGCCTCGGAGGAGTTTGGAGTGTCCAGGGGAAGGATAAGCAAAGATAAGGATACCTGGTGGTGGAATGATGATGTCCAGAAGGCGATTAAAGAGAACAAACATTGCTTCAGACGCCTATACCTGGATAGGAGTGCAGATAACATAGAAAAGTACAAGATGGCGAAGAAGGCCGCAAAGCAAGCTGTTGGTGAAGTAAGGGGTCGGGCATATGAGGACCTCTACCAACGGTTAGGCACGAAGGAAGGCGAAAGGGACATCTATAAGATGGCCAAGATCCGAGACAGGAAAACGAGGGATATTGGTCAAGTCAAATGCATCAAAGACGGAGCAAGCCAACTCTTGGTGAAGGACGAGGAGATTAAGCATAGATGACGGGAGTACTTCGACAAGCTGTTCAATGGGGAGAATGAGAGTTATACCATTCAGCTGGATGACTCCTTTGATGAGACCAGCATGCGTTTTGTGCGGCAAATCTAGGAGTCTGAGGTCAATGAGGCTTTAAAAAGGATGAAAGGAGGCAAGGCGATGAGCCCTGATTATATCCCCATTAAGGTGTGGTAAGGTCTCGGGGACATAGCGATAGTATGGCTAACCAAGCTTTTCAACCTCATTTTTCGGGCAAACAAGATGCCAGAAGAATGGAGATGGAGTATATTAGTACCAATCTTCAAGAATAAGGGGGATGTTCAGAGTTGTACTAATTACCATGGAATTAAGCTGATGAGCCATACAATGAAGCTAAGGGAGAGAGTTATTGAGCACCACTTAAGAAGAATGGAAAGCGCGACCAAAAATCAGTTTGGTTTCATGCCTGGGAGGTCGACCATGGAATCCACTTTCTTGGTACGATAACTTATGAGGAGATATAGGGAGCAAAAGAAGGACTTGCATATGGTGTTCATTGACTTGGGAAGGCCTATGATAAGATACCGTGAAATGTCATGTGGTGGGCCTTGGAGAAACACAAAGTCCCAGCAAAGTACATTACCCTCATCAAGGACATGTACGATAATATTATGACAAGTGTTCGAACAAGTGATGTCGACACTGATGACTTCTTGATTAAGATAGGACTGCATCAGGGGTCAGCTTTGAGTCCTTATCTTTTTTCATTGGTGATGGATGAGGTCACAAGGGATATACAAG